GGGAGGAGCGTTGGACGGGGAATATTTAGGCATAGGGCAGCGAGCAGGCGGCCGTGACTCCCGTGCTGCCTCATGCGCGCATGCCCTGCCACCACCAACCATCCGCGCTCTTCGCTTCCCACCTCCCTGCCCCTCCTCTCCCGCCGCCCCTCTCTGCGGCCGCCCCTGCGCGCGCCAGGCGTCCCAGACGAACATCCACTTCGAGCGCGCCGCCATCGCCTTCAACATCGCCGCCACGCTCTCGCAGATCGCGCTGGCGGCGGACCGCTCCACGGCGGCGGGGCTCAAAGCGGCGTGCAACGCGTTCCAGGCGGCGGCGGGCGCGTTCGCGTACCTGCGCGACCACATCAGCGGAAAGGCGCTGGCGGGCGGCGGAACGTGCACGACGGACATCGCGGGCGAGACGGCGGGGATGCTGGAGCGGCTGATGCTGGGGCAGGCGCAGGAGTGCTTCTACGAGAAGGCGCTGGGCGAGGGCAAGCCCAACCAGATCTGCGCGCGCATCGCGCAGCAGGTGCGCGCGCCGCAGCTTCGCCTTCCAAGCGCTGCTCCTTGACCTCCTCGTTCCCCGCCCATTCCTAGCCCTTCCCTCTCTCCCCCTCCCCTCCCTGATTCGTTTTTTCCGCATCTTTCTTCCCCACCCCTCCCACCCGCAACCGCGCTCCCTCTCCCTCCCCTTCCCTCTCCCCCCCTCCTCCCCCCATGCATGGTGGCGCAGGTGGCGATGTTCTACGAGGAGGCGCACGCGGCGCTGCTGCTGCCGCCGCTGTCGGCGCACTTCGACCGGCAGTGGGTGGCGAACGTGCTGTTCAAGGCGCGCCACTTCCACGCGGAGGCGCTGTACCGCGCGGCGCTGGACCTGCACGCGCGCGAGGAGGTGGCGGAGGAGATCGCGCGGCTGACGCACGCCAAGGCGCTGCTGGCGGAGGCGCGCAAGGGCAGCAAGGGCGTGATGCAGCCGCTGGTGGACGCCGTGTTCAAGCTCGAGGGCCACGTGCTGGCCAACCTCGCCAAGGCCGAGGCGGAGAACGACCGCGTTTACCTCTACCGCGTCCCCGCCTACGTCTCGCTTCCGCCCATCGCCGCCGCTGCGCTCGTGGCCGCCACGCCGCTGGCGCCGCAGCTGGACGCGACGGGCGAGCGGCTGCTGGCGGGGCTGGTGCCAGACGGCAGCGCCAAGGAGCTGTCGCGCTACACCGACATGGTGGACGGCATCATCCGTAACCAGGTCCCTCCGCTCCCCCGCTCCCCCCGCTCTCCCGCCTGCCCCCTTCCTTTTGCGCTCTGCCAGTCGCTGTTATTCCTGCGCTCACATCTTTCTTTTCCGCCGCACATCACCCATCCCGCCGCCCGTGTGCGCGTGTGCGTGGCGGTAGGTGGAGCGCATGGAGCGCGAGAGCGAGGAGGCGAAGGCGCGGCTGCGCGAGCTGGCGGTGGCGGACGTGCTGGTGGCGCTGGACGGCGACCTCTCCGCTTTCGTGCCCGCCAAGCTGCGCGACGACGTGGAGGCCGTGCACGTGAGCGGGGGGCCCGCGGGGCTGCCGGGGGAGCTGGCGCAGCTGCACGACCTGCGGCGCGTGAACGAGGAGCTGCTGCTGGCCGCGGAGGAGACGCTGCAGCTGGAGGCCGCGGACGACGCCGCACTGCGCACGCAGTTCGGGTCGCGGTGGGCGCGGCCGCAGAGCAGCACGCTGACCAAGAGCCTCAAGGAGCGCGCGACGGCGTTCGCAGGCAACCTGAAGCAGGCCAAGGAGAGTGACGCGCGCATCGAGCGCGACCTGCGCGACTGCTCCGACCTGCTGGGCGCGCTGGGCCACAGCAAGGTGCACATACGTACACACGTGCAGGTGTCGGCGTGAATAAGGACTGTGGCACAGTGGTGGGAAGGAGTTGGGTGCGGGTAGGGCAGTTGGATGCATGGGTGGCATGGGTGGAATGGAAGTGGACGAGCAGACAGCAATACGGTGATGGTAGTGGGGGGAGCGGACAGCAGTGGGGAGGGAGGCTCATGGGGTGTGTGCTTTTTGTTCTCATTCCATTCTTCTACACACACACCACTCAGCAGCATCTCTCCGTGTTACGACATGTGGCATGGCACATCATGGCATGGCATGTGGCGTGGCATGTGGCGTGGCATGCATGGCAGGTGGAGGACGCCCTGCCACGCATATCACGGCCCATGCTGGCAGTGCACGGGGACGACCATGCGCTCGTCGCCACCATCCGCCAACTCCTTGTAAGCCCCCCTCCCACCCCACCTTGCGTCCTCACCTCCTTGTTTGCCACCATTGCTGTGTCGCTCTGCATTCGTTTCCTGCCATCCAACCCACCTGCCTGCTTCCCTCATCCTCTCCACACCTCATTGCTCTCCCTCCCCCACATTCGCTTCACGCGCACGTCACACACTCGCTGCACCCTTGCTGCTCTCCCCCCCTCCGTGCGCGCCTCCTTCTCCCGGGGTGGTGGGGGCGGGCAGGCGGAGCTGGAGCGAGTCGGGGCGCAGAGGGCGGGGGTGGAGGAGGGGCTGCGGGAGATGAGGGCGCGCGACAACATCCTGCCCAAGCTGATGAACGCGCCGGGGTCGCAGGAGGAGCTGTTCAAGAAGGAGGCGAGCAAGTACGACGCGCTGTGCCAGCAGGTGGACGCCAACATTGCCCAGCAGCGCTCCTCCATGCAGCAGCTCGAGGTGTGCCAGGGGGCATGCGCCATCTTGGGGGGATGAGGGAACAGGGGGGTGGGGAAGGGACGTGACCAGGGCTGCTTGCAGTGTGCAGAGAAAGGAATTGGAATGGGTGGGGTAGAATGGTGGAGTGGTGAGTGGTGAGTGGGGTGTGGTGGCACGAGTGCATGCGCGCATGTGAAGGCTCCTCCCGCTCTCACGTGTTGTGCTGCTCTATCCTGTGTGCCACGCTACACCCCGTGTGTGCCCCATGCAGGCGCAGTACCAGCTGTTCTCACAGGCATTCAACATCCCCGAGTGGAAAGGTGCGCACCTACATCGCCGTCACGCATCTCCCCACACACTCTCACGTCTCGCTCCCATGCCCCTCTCACAGCCCTCTCACAGCCCTCTCACAGCCCTCTCACAGCCCTCTCACAGCCCTCTCACAGCCCTCTCACAGCCCTCTCACAGCCCTCTCACAGCCCTCTCACAGCCCTCTCACAGCCCTCTCACAGCCCTCTCACAGCCCTCTCACAGCCCTCTCACAGCCCTCTCACAGCCCTCTCACAGCCCTCTCACAGCCCTCTCACAGCCCTCTCTCACCCCTCGCCCGAAGCTTCACAACACCCCAGCGATTTTTGAGTCGACTTGAGAATCGCAACTGTGCGCACACCCATGCAGCATGTGCCGAGATCCAACCTTCTCAATTGTGCTGGCAAATGTGTATGTGCACGCATGTGTGTGCCTGGAGCAGCGGAGGTGGGTCGGGCGGTGAAGCGCATGGAGGCGGCGGTGAGCAAGTACCAGGAGCTGCGCTCCAACCTGAATGAGGGGCTCAAGTTCTACGTCGCCCTGCAGGTATCCCACTGCCCCCTCTCCCACCTTCGCCCCTCCCCACTGTCCTCTCGCTTCCGCCTCTTTCCCCCCTTTTCTCCACCCCTCTTCCCCCACCCCTGCCTGCTCATCTGTACCCTCCACCCCTAACCGCACGCGTCACAAAGTGCACGTTGGCGCGATGCTCAAGTTCTACCTTTCCTCCCTCTTGCCGCGGTGTCCCGTGCGCCCGTGTGACGGGGGCGGGGAGAGCAGGACGCGATAACAGCGTTGAAGCAGCAGTGCAGCGACTACGTGATGACGCGCAACATGCAGAAGGCCGACCTCATCTCCGACCTGCAGCGCCACCTCGCCGGCCTCTCCCTGCGCGACCACACTCCCCCCGCCGCCGCCGCTCCCGCCCCTCGTGCTGCAGCCCCCCCTGCGCAGGTAGCAGCGCCGGCAGGGGGGAGGTCACCGGGGGATGGTGCGTACCTGGGGGCACCGCAGGGGGCGGCAGCAGCGGGGGGGCAGGGCCGGCCCGTGAGCCCCAAGGGCGGAGGGGGCCCGCTGCAGTTCCTGCAGCAGCACCTGCCCTTCTTCAACAACCAGAACCAGCAGGCCCCGCCCCAGCAGCCCCAGCCCGTTGCCCCTGCAGGTGCTTATGCACCCCCTGCTGCTCAACCCCCTCAGTATGCAGCACCCGTGCCCCAGCAACAGCAGCCGCCGCCGCAGCAGCAGCAGCATGGCGGCGGGCAAATGGGGTACTACAGCCAAGCAGGCCCGCCCGCCCCTGGTGGCGCGGCCCCTGCTCCGTACTACATGCCCGCGCCACAGCAGGCGGCAGCGGCGCCCCATGGTGGGTACTACTCCACGGGGCAGCCCGCCCCTGCCCCCGCCCCCGTTTACGGGCAGCCGCCAGTGCAGCAGGGCGCGCAGGGGCAGGCGCAGTGGAGTGGAGGCTACCACCCCCAGGCGTACGGCTCCCATGCACCGCAACAAATGCCGCCGCCCAACCCCTACCAGTACCCCCCCTCTGGAGGTTACTGAAGCATCCCCTCTCCAGTTCTTTCTCCCTTCCCTTGCCGCTCGCTTGTCTCGTGTGTTCCACCTACCGGTAATCCTGCCCCACCGTACTGCACCAAACTGGCTAGGTCATGCAGAGTTACCATTCCATGTGCCATACCGCTTTCTTGTTTGCAAGTGTAGCTTTTTAGGCCCTTAGGTTGCTAGTACCATGCGGATTAGTTGTTCGAGAGTTTGCGTCTCATCTTACTTCTTGATAACTTAGGGTTGAATTGCAAAATGAACTCAAAACAGTTCCGTAGCTTGATTACAGCAGAGTAAACGATTCTACAATCAGTTGCCACAAGCATGGGCTGTACAATGCTGTCACAGGTGGTGCAGCCGGACTGGCCAGTCAGTAGGTGCAGCACAGCAGGTGAACTAGAGCCATGGCTGCACACGCCATCCCGCCATCACATGGCGATGCTGCTATGCACTGCGCCTGTCATCCAGGCGCGTGTCACAGGAGCATGAGTGTGGCCACGCCCCTGGCCCTCAGCTGCGCCTGCACCGCCATCATCTCCTGCTCGTACGCACGCCCGCCCACCCGCCCTCCCCTGCTGCGCGCGCCCCACGCCACGCCACAGTGGGTGCAGGGCTGCTCTAGCCCTAGAGCAGTGGAGCCTGCAGAAGACTGGCTCGTGTTCCTCAGCTCGAGGCGCTGCAGTGCGGGCAGCATGGCGGCCAGTGCGGCAATGTCACGGGGCTCGTGAGCAACACACTCCAGTGTCAGAAACCGCACCGTCGGGTGCAGCACCCGTGGGTACTGCCCACCCTGCCCGCGCCTCCCTGTTGCTTCCCCTGCTGCTTCCTCGAAAGCGGCGTCTTTCTCCCCCGCATCCAACCCCTCGTCCCTCAGCCCTGCTCCTTCCCCTCCCCTCAACCCTCTCTCCCCCGCCTCCCACGTGCCCCACGTGCCCCTCGCGCCCCTCCCACTGGCCGCTGTACCTGGGCGGAGCACAGCAGCGCCCACGCCGTGCAGGCAGGCGCCGACGAGGTGCAGGTGGAGCAGGCGCGTGCACTTGGCGAGGGGCAGCAGGTCCAGCAGCGCCAGGCGCCCCATGTGCAGCGCCAGCGACGCCAGGTGGCGGCGCCACGCGATGACGAGCAGGAAGATGGACGGGCGCGAGAGGGCCGCGGGGCACAGGCACACGAAGGCTTGCACCTGGCGGAAGCTGGCGGTGAGGAACCAGAGCGCGCGCAGCTCGATGAACGCAAACGGTGCCCACGCCACAGGCGTTCGCTCCCGCTCCCGCTCTCGCTCACGGGCGCGTGTGGGCGGAGGTGCATGGTGAGCAGCGAGCTGGTGTGTGCTTGTTGGCACGTGGGCAGGGGCCGCACGGACATCGGGGCGGTATGCAGGAGGGAGGGCGGAGTAGTGGCAGGAGGTGGGGGCGACGAGCTCAATGGTGTGCACGTTGGTGCAGTGCACGCTGAAGTGGCGCACGGGGGAGAGGGGCGAAACGGGGGGACGAGATGAAGAGAACTCTTGGACTTGCATGGGGCAATGCGTTGACACGACACGATGCATGACAAGGCAAGGCACCATGGTGACTATGTGTGGTGGAAATTCGGGCAACGCCCGGCAAGGGTGCAGCAAGGAGCGAGGTGTGCGCGACACGCACTGCCTTGTGGAACGCAAGTCGTGAATGCGGCGCTGCGCACCTGAGCACCCACAGCATGCTGCACACGGACGCCTCTCTCAGGTCGTCCACCCCCGCTGCACTCTCCGCCTCCATGCCCCCCCACTCCGCCGCGCGCCCCTCCCCCGCCCCCGTGTGCTGCACCCCCACCGTTCCCCCCAGCAGCGCAGCAGGGGCGGCGGGGGGTGCGGGCGGGTCGCAGTTGATGACGAGGCGCGTGAGGGAGTGCGCGGCGGCGGCGATGATGGGGTGCAGCAGGTGCACGTGGCACAGCGGGTCGTCCACGTACAGCTCCTGCAGCCCCGCGCACCGCGCCGCCAGCTGCTCCACTCCTGCCGCCCACGCGAAAGGGGGTAAAAGGGGGACGAGGGGGGAAACAGATGGCGTTGTGGAGTTGGGATGGTGGGAAGGAGTTGGGGAGCTCTTTCGTACAATCATTAGACACCGCTATCCGGTGCATGGATACCGGGACACGGAATTACCGCGTGGCGCATACGGAGTAGCACGAACAGAGGTGTGGCGCGCTGCGCCTACGGCGCGCACCTGGTCGGATGCTGTGCGGTTCCACGCGCAGGCGCTGCCAGAAGGGCGCGGAGTAGCACAGTGCCTTCCACGCGCGCGCCACGCACGCGAGGCGGCAGAGGTCCCACGCGGTGGGGCGCGAGCAGAGGATGATCCTCAGCAGCAGGTCGTCACTCAAGTCCGCCATTGAGCTCCGCCGCCGCGCCTGCTGCTGCGAGTGGTTTGCGGGCAGGCTGGAGCTCGCAGTGTCGCCACCGCCTCGCCCGCCGCCTCCCCCCGCGCCCGTCGGCCCGGCGCTACCCTCCGCCTGCGCGCAGCCCGTTTCTGCCAACTCGTTCTCCTCAGCCGCCGGGAATCGCGGCCTTAGGAAAAAGGCTGGAGGCGGTACGAGCGCGGGGATCGTGTGACGGCGGTCGGCAGCAGCGATGTGAGCGTGCGATGCGGCTTCAAGAACGGCGGACTCGCCAGGCATCGTCGAACCCGCCTCTTCGGAGCGGCAAGGAGCGGTGCGGTTGATTATGCTAGCGGCGAGTGCGGCGTGATGATGGTGATGGGCTGGAGACGAGCTTCTCGCTCGCTTTCGACACGGCGTGGAACCCGTGCACTGTCCATCGCTGAGCGCAGCGTGCTTCACTATGTCGTGAGATGGCATCATGTGCGACGGCGGGATCGCAAAGGAAAAGGCTCTGGAGGAAGGAGTGGCGAGTTAAAGCAGAGATAAGAACTCGTAGGAGCAAGGGATTCAAAAAAGGGCTCGACGACGCAGTGAATGGCCATCCTGCTGCTCATATGCACGGTGGCTCGAGGAAGGAAGTAAGGCTACGAGGAATAATCCCTCGACTGCGCGAGCATGCTGCTGCTAGATCTGTAACCATGTGCCGGCGAGCAGCGCCATCATAACGAATCACTCTGTGCTGCTAGCGTGGGGTTCGGGGCAACACGCCAACATGGCGCGCACGGCGTGCTGGACTTTATTCGAACATCAAGCTGGCGGTACAAAGGATGGTAGGAGTAGTGAAGATGCCGCGAATCCCGCGCGGTGTGTGATGGCGGCGCACATGATCGGCCCCTAAGCTGCAATCTGTGCTGCGGTGCTGCATGTCGGGACTCTCATATGCGGGTGAATCTGATTTGCACATCGCTGTCTCGTCCAAGCGTTGGTTTGCCAAGTCAGATTCAGAGATCAGGAGGATTCGGGCTCAAAAGAGTTGATTGAGATAGTCTGGTCTGGGGACCTGGTCCCCAGATGTAGTGGGGTGACTGAAACTGCACCACTTCGTCAAACCGAAAAGTGATACAGTACACCAGGTAGGCGGGCGGCATGTGCGTGAAACGTGTTTGAGGGAATTCGCCACATCCGCCCTTGTCGCCACGGGCAAAATTGTGACAGTAATATGAAATTGCAACGTGAATCAAATCAAGGGTTTTAATTCCGTAACCAGGTTAACTTCTCTGATGACGGGCAACCGTTGTTGTTTATGTACTGTAGATGTTTTTCTTCCTCAACTTGGTGACTGTACCCCGAAATCGGCACAATGGTCAATTTAGTCACTCACGGGCAAAACGTTCGCGAGTGACTAAATTTCTAATAGTCGAAGCCAATGTTTCGTGATAGGCTGAGCATCGACTGTACACTTCTACTTTGTAACCCTGAAACCGCAAGTCAAGACTGGTGTGGTTGGGGCGGGGCTACAAAGTAGAAGTGTACTGTATCACTTTCCAAGCTGGTGAGTGGCGGTTCAGAACGGTGAAGCGAACTCACCGCTTTCCACCTCGACCACTGACTGAACAGAAATATAAGGGCGTGTGTCTTTTGGTGTAGACGTTCAGAAATATGGTCTGTTATGAGTTGTAAAAGAGAGTGCGCAGGTAAACGAATAACGAAGCTGTGACTGAATCAACTGCGAATACAATGAATGCACAGACTAATGTAGGACTACTCTAGAAACCTCGGACGAGCGAGGTTGGGTGCAGGTTTGGCGATGGGAAAGCCGAAGGCGACGTGAGGAGCCTCGGCAGCGTTGAAATCGGCCGAACGTGCGAACTCCGAAAATCGGGTTGTACGCGAAGCAGTCAACCCCGATAAGGAATTCGGGAAAATTCCTTACACCACCCCCCCCCCCCCCCCCTTAAGAAAGGTAGTCAATAGCCGAAACACGCCGTCGCACCAGATAATCACCAACAAGCGTCGAGGCGTCCAGTGAAGCGGATGACACCCACGTGTCGTCCTCACTGGTGCGGTCGGTCCAGCGCATTAAGAAATCCACGTGGCGTCCAGCGGCGTCAAGGCGGACCCGATGAGCGAGAATCTTGGAAGGGTCAAGGGTTGGCTCCGGGACGGGGCGAGCTGTCGGGGCCGCTTGCTGACGTGCGATGTCGGTCGTCGTAGGCACGAACTTCCGAAGAAGGCTGATGTGGAACGCGTCATGTATATGCCAATCGTCGGGTAGCAACAGCTTCGCGGTGACAGGTGTCACCATCTTGAGAATTTTGAACGGTCCGCAAAATCGTGGCCGAAGTTTCGCAGGGCCGGGCAGGTTCAGGTTTTTCGTGTCGAGGAGGACTAGTTGCCCAGTAGTCAAGACGAGTTCCCGGCGAAGAAGGTTGGTGTATTTGCGGGAAGTAATATTCGCTTTGCGAATTGCGTCGGCGGCTTGTTCGCGGACTTCCTCGAGTTCCGTCACGAAAGTCTGGGAACGCGGGACCGGATTGTCGAGTGTAGTTGTCCTCGGAACCGCCGGGTCGATCCCATAATTCAGGAAGAATGGGGAGTGATTAGTCGTGCTCGATGGTGCGTTGTTGAAAGCGAATTCCAGCATGTCAAAATTAGAAGAAGAAAAGAGTTTAGAGTTTACAATTATAAGCAAAGCTAGTGGTAGTCACAACGGGCAAGTGAGGAGGAGGAGGGAGAGTGAGGGGAGAGGAGACAGGAGGCGACGGCTGAAGCTGCAGACACACGGGCAACAGGAGGCAGACTGGCACAGCGGCTACCGGACAGCGCCCGGACTACAGGGGTAACAGGCCCCGCGGCTCAAATAGCGGCGGACGGGCAACGGACCCACGGGCGGCTGGCACAGCTGGCTACGACTGGGCTACCGGGACAGCGCCCCGGACTACAGGTGCTGCTGACGACAAACTGGCAACCTCTGCTCATCCTCCCACACACAGTCCCACCCCCCTGATACACACCCACTGCTACACCACTAGCTCTACTCCCACGCACCCCCCTTAAACCCTAAACCCAGTCTCCCACACAACACAGCATTGCGAGCGAGTCTTCCCAGCGGGCAGGATCGGGGCAGTTTGTCCTGATTAACTGCTCCATGGTCTGGTTGGTCCGCTCTGTTTGACCGTCGGTCTGCGGGTGGTAAGCCGATGAGAACTGTAGCTTCGTGCCGTATTGCGCCCATGTCTCCTTCCAGAATTTGGATGTGAATTTTGGGTCGCGGTCGCTGATGATCGCTGAAGGGATGCCGTGCAGTCGCACGACCGTCGATATGAAAAGTCGCGCAGTTTCTTCGGCTGTGATTGTCGTTCGGCATGGTGCGAAGTGCGCCATTTTCGTGAAGCGGTCGACGACGACGAGAACAGCGTCGTTGCCTGTCGGCCCAGCTGGCATCCCCGTGACAAAATCCATCGTCACTTGTTGCCACGGTCGTTCGGGTGGCTCGAGGGGTTGCAGCAATCCAGCTGGTCGCTGACGTGTCGACTTCATTGCTTGGCACACCCTGCATGAGGACACATAGCGCTGCACGTCGTTAGAGGAATCAGGCCAGTAATAGTGACGGTGCAGTAGTTTCTGTGTCTTATCGACCCCGAAATGTCCGGAGAGGTTTGAATCGTGTATCTCCTGGATGAGGAGCTCACGCAGCAGACGGTAAGCGGGAACCCAAATCCGGTCGGTTCCGGCTTTTAGGTAATAGTCCCCTTTCTGCGTCGTAGCCTGCTGATGGTTTCCCGTTGTGAAGAAGGGGTCTGTCGTGTAGCCGTGGGTGAATAGTCCGGTAAGTAGCGGGTTCGAGTGGGTGATGAGTACTGCAGCGGATTGTACTGTCGGCCGGGTCAGGGCGTCGGCGATGTTATTAGCCCCTTTTTTGTACGTGATGCGGTAGGTGAAATGGCTCTCCATGTAGTCGAGCCATCGAATCTGTCGTGGGTTGAGGTTGGGTTGGGCTCGCAGGTACTGTAGGGATTTGTGGTCCGTGCGAACAGTGACGTCGGCGCCCACCAGGTAGCATCGCCATAGTTTAAATGCGTGTATGATGGCGAGCATCTCCTTGTCTAGGATCGGGTAGTTGCGTTCGGCTGCCTGCAGCTTGCGTGATTCGTAGGCTATCGGTTGCAACCCGTGTCAGAATATTATCTTATTGTTCTAGCCTGTAGTGGGGTGCTCTATAGCGAGTACAACCCTTCTAGGGTTTGCTATTTGTATCCTCATTCTTGCTAGTTCAATCCCCTTTCTTTCTTCAAACTTTGACATGCTATCAGAGCAGGTCGATCCCCTTGGATCGATCCTGTGGGTGTGTCCCCACCTTGCTTCCGCTGCTACTTTTTCCTCCCGCCGTGCGCCCCGAGGCGCGCGGCGGTTTTCTGCCCGCCGTGCGCCCCGAGGCGCGCGGCGGTTCATTGCCCGCTGTGCGCCCCGTGGCGCGCGGCGGGCTTCTCCCCTTCGTCGCGGACCCGCCCCGGCCCGTCGCCGCCCGTGCGCGTGCCCGGCTCGGCCCCGCCCTTCGTCGCGGACCCGCCCCGGCCCGTCGCCGCCCGTGCGCATGCCCGGCTCGGCCCCGCCCTTCGTCGCGGACCCGCCCCGGCCCGTCGCCGCCCGTGCGCCTGCCCGTCGCGGCCCCGCCCTACGTCGCGGCCCCGCCCTATGTCGCGGCCCCGCCCCTCGAAGCGGCCCCGCCTTACGTCGCGGCCCCGCCCCGCTCGTCGCGGCCCCCGCCCCTTGTCGCGGCCCCGCCCTCCAACCAGGCTCGTGGTGGGCCCCTTTCACCACACCGCCTCCCCCCCCCCCCCCCCCCCCCCCCTCCCCCTGCCATTTCCCGTCGTCCGTCGTGGCGACCTGAGGGGGCCGCCCGTGGGTCCGTTGCCCGTCCGCCGCTATTTGAGCCGCGGGGCCTGTTACCCCTGTAGTCCGGGCGCTGTCCGGTAGCCGCTGTGCCAGTCTGCCTCCTGTTGCCCGTGTGTCTGCAGCTTCAGCCGTCGCCTCCTGTCTCCTCTCCCCTCACTCTCCCTCCTCCTCCTCACTTGCCCGTTGTGACTACCACTAGCTTTGCTTATAATTGTAAACTCTAAACTATTTCTTCTTGAACTTGTGCTCAGAATGTGTGGTGACATTGTGATCCACCCTGAGCTTGTTTTGCTTTGCCTGCTCTGCTGATTACACCCCACTTTGGCTATGGGGGTGTGTCAGAATATTATCTTATTGTTCTAGCCTGTAGTGGGGTGCTCTATAGCGAGTACAACCCTTCTAGGGTTTGCTATTTGTATCCTCATTCTTGCTAGTTCAATCCCCTTTCTTTCTTCAAACTTTGACAACCCGTTCCCGAAATCTTGGAGGAGCACAGCTCCGATGGCGAAATCTGAGGCGTCGGTTACAACTTCGAACGGCTTCGATGGATCGGCGATGCGCAGCACAGGAGGGGAAACGAGAAA